ACGTAAGGCTTCACCTACTGCAATAGGCATTACTTGAACTAGTGTTTTGATAACATCTTTTGTTTCACATCTCATCAAGAACCATATATGTGATCCCCACAGTCACGAGCCTCACTAGATGGTGATATTGACATAATGAACACATATTTATTTTGATGTGTACGTAAGAGATTCACTAGAGGTGTGGCTAACATAAATCTTTAACAAATAGAGGTAAGGCAATTGAATCTAGATGGTTATATGTATCTAGGTGGAAATGTTGGCAGTGTGTCTGGATTCAGATGTGCCAACATATCTAGGTGGAGATGAAGCCAACGCAGTGATAGGGAGATGCGGCCAACCTATTGATGTGAGAATGTGGTCAAGATGGTCAGGCTGACTTACGTCTGACTTACCTACGTGCAGGTGTAGCCAACATACTTAGACGTATATGTGGCCCTACAGAGAGAGTGACTGTGGCCAACGCGGTTGTCAAGCGTTGCTGTGGCCATTCAAGACGGCTATGAACTGTGTGTGTTGCCCGTCGTGGTGTCGTCGCTTCTCTATCCTCGAGTACAAGTACGAGGCCACCATGGTTATACAGGTAGGTGATGGGACCACCATGGTTATAAAGGTAGGTGATGGGGCCACCATGGTCATTCAGGTGGGTGATGGGGCCACCATGGTTATACAGGTAGGTGATGGGGCCACCATGGTCATTCAGGTGGGTGTTGGTGCCACCATGGTTATACAGGTAGGTGATGGGGCCACCATGGTTATAAAGGTAGGTGATGGGGCCACCATGGTCATTCAGGTGGGTGATGGTGCCACCATGGTTATACAGGTAGGTGATGGGGCCACCATGGTTATACAGGTGAGTGATGGGACCACCATGGTTATAAAGGTAGGTGATGGGGCCACCATGGTCATTCAGGTGGGTGATGGGGCCACCATGGTTATACAGAGGAGTGATGGGACCACCATGGTTATAAAGGTAGTGATGGGGCCACCATGGTCATTCAGGTGGGTGATGGGGCCACCATGGTTATACAGGTAGGTGATGGGGCCACCATGGTTATAAAGGTAGGTGATGGGGCCACCATGGTCATTCAGGTGGGTGATGGTGCCACCATGGTTATACAGGTAGGTAATGGGGCCACCATGGTTATACAGGTGAGTGATGGGACCACCATGGTTATAAAGGTAGGTGATGGGGGCCATGGCTGGTCTCAGGTGGGTGATGGGGCCACCATGGTTATACAGGTGAGTGATGGGACCACCATGGTTATAAAGGTAGGTGTGATGGGGCCACCATGGTCATTCAGGTGGGTGATGGGGCCACCATGGTTATACAGGTGAGTGATGGGACCACCATGGTTATAAAGGTAGGTGATGGGGCCACCATGGTCATTCAGGTAGGTGATGGGGCCACCATGGTTATACAGGTGAGTGATGGGACCACCATGGTTATAAAGGTAGGTGATGGGGCCACCATGGTCATTCAGGTGGGTGATGGGGCCACCATGGTTATACAGGTGAGTGATGGGACCACCATGGTTATAAAGGTAGGTGATGGGGCCACCATGGTCATTCAAGTGAGTGATGGGACGACCATAGTCATTCAGGTGGGTGATGGTGCCACCATGGTTATAAAGGTAGGTGATGGGGCCACCATGGTCATTCAAGTGAGTGATGGGACCACCATGGTCATCCAGGTGGGTGATGGTGCCACCATGGTCATTCAAGTGAGTGATGCACCATGGTCATCCAGGTGGGTGATGGTGCCACCATAGTCATTCGGGTGAGTGATGGGACCACCATGGTCATTCAGGTGGGTGATGGTGCCACCATGGTCATTCAGGTGATGGGCCCACCATGGTCATTCAGGTGGGATGGGGCCACCATGGTCATCCAGGTGGGTGATGGTGCCACCATGGTTATAAAGGTAGTTGATGAGGCCACCATGGTCATTCAAGGAGTGATGGGTCCACCATGGTCATTCAGGTGGGTGATGGAGCCACCATGGTCATTCAGGTGGGTGATGGGGCCACCATGGTCATTCAGGTGGATGATGGGGCCACCATGGTCATTCAGGTGGGTGATGGGGCCACCATGGTCATTCAGGTGGATGATGGGGCCACCATGGTCATTCAGGTGGGTGATGGGGCCACCATGGTCATTCAGGTGAATGATGGGACCACCATGGTCATTCAGGTGGGTGATGGAGCCACCATGGTCATTCAGGTGGATGATGGGGCCACCATGGTTATTCAGATGGGTGATGGGCCCACCATGGTCATTCAGGTGAATGATGGGACCACCATGGTCATTCAGGTGGGTGATGGAGCCACCATGGTCATTCAGTAAACCACCATGGTCCCCCTCATGATACAACACACCATAACATAATAATACTACACTATAATATACAATAATACACCACAATGCGCCATAATACACCGTACTGCATTAGAAGATAAACCATTGTAGGCTTGATACTTTATGATGTTAGTTAGATTTCAGACAGACACAGACAAAGGTAACCTAGGCTACTATTGTAGTAATAACGTAAATAAATAATTCATATTTTTAAATGGGGATCAGCCCACCAGGGCACAGGTCACCGACCCGCATCGTGGCCTACCCCACCCCCCTCCCCCAGGCCCCGATGCAGACAAAGGAGGAAAGAAATTGCCTCATAAAATATATACAGAAATAGAAATGAAAAAGATCAACAGTAAGAATCTATATATGTATGTTGTGTTGTCAATAGTAAGAGAAACAATTGAGATCCTGCAATTGTGTGTAAATGAGGCAGAAAGTCAGATCAGCAACCTGGGACTTGGTCACAATATTCGTGATGCCATATGGCAGTAGGGTCTACCATTAGACAACACATTATGCTTCCAATATCTTCCCAGGCGGTAGTACCTCCCTGTTTGGTAGCTGCCTACTACCTACTACCTATTTTCATTAATAATAATAATAATTAACAGTTTATTGAAAAACACAGCGGACAGAGGTTGAAAATATACAATGGACAAAAAATTACTTACATTAGGTATAATGACATCGAGGAGTGGAATGTTTAACAAAAGCTTTCAGTACAAAAAGAAAACATGGAGTTAACATACAGGCTATAATTATGTGAATCACTGATCATTTGGTGATGTAGAAAAACACAAGGTTTTGTGTGTGTGTGTGTGTGTGTTCCGTCCATAACCATTTACCCACAGTTATCATACCACACACACACACACATTATCTCCACCTCGACTTCTCCTCCACACCTCAGTACCAACGTCTCTACTCTGTGCCCCTCTCACCCTCCTCCAGGTGTTGTGCATCCTGCTGGGGATCATCTTCATCATCCTCAAGGTAGCAAGTGGAGAACACAAACCCAAGCCTGGCAGATGTTACTGTGAATCCACCTCCACCTCCGACTCCACGCCTCCAAACGTGGTTGATGCTACACCTTGAAGCCTTGGTCACAAAGAAGCTACACTACGATACTTTGGTCATATTGAAGCTACACTATAATACCTTGGCCCTGATAAAGCTATACTACAATACCTTGGTCATGATGATGCTACATAACGATACCTGGGTCATATTTGCGGTACCTTAGTCATATTGAATGTACACTGCGATCCTTTGGTCCTGATGAAGCTGCACTACGATACCTTGGTCATACTGAAGCGACTCCACAATACCTTAGTCCTGATGAAGCTACTACTATGAAGCTTTGGTCACAGTGAAGCCTTCGGTACTTTTCACCTGTTTGTTTATCATATCAATATCTAAGGCCGATGAATACTTTGATGACCGCGCTACTGAAGGTCACAGGTCATAGGTCAAATGTTTTAATAATATAATCACTTGTAATTGAATGTTAGGGATTATTGAAATAAAGATAAAGCTGCCATATTACACTGAAGATTCTGACGAGAGAGAGAGAGAGAGAGAGAGAGAGAGAGAGAGAGAGAGAGAGAGAGAGAGAGAGAGAGAGAGAGAGATTTACTATCTATTTATCATAACTTATCAGCATCTGTTTAAATGTTCAATAATATTTTTTCCTCTCAATTCGGGTTCCAGTCAACATTAAATAATATACAATAAAACACTGTGTAGGTTAATCTGCCTATGTCACCTCTCTCATAACACCCTGTACAGAATAAACCTTGATGTGTGTGTGTGTGTGTGTGTGTGTTATATACCTGCATTATCTTTATACCTGGGGAACTAATAATGTATGACGATTTTAATGAAAAGTATCTATCTATCTATGATATTAACATTGTGTAATGATGAAATATACCAGAAAAAATGGGGGCCACTTTTTCTTAAATCTGGGTCACTCTATGATAAATATGGGCCGTTACTTTGTCTTAACTCTGTGCTACGTTGTCTCAAATCTGGGCCACTTTGTTTATAAAGGTGCCCCATCCTCTATATGGTGCCTGGGCATGTTTACAGTGGGACTTTTTGTCATTGCTTACAATGGTACACAGTGGTGTCTGATGGTGTTTAGTTTCAACACTACCCGATCTACATTGGTACCTGAGGCACTATACAGTGTCTAATGCTGCTACAGTGTTACCTTGGGGCTATACGATGCCTACTAGTGTCACAACTAAGTTGAAACCTGTTTACATTGGTACCTCGAGAACTCTCGTGTCAAATTACGCCACCGCATGTTTACAGTGACACCTCGGGCACTGTGGGGGTGTCTCTTGGTGTCAAGCTACCATGAGAAGACACAAGGTAAACACAAGTCAAGGAAGCGTCTTCATTGGTTGACTGCTCGTCCGGTCGCCTGCCCTCACACAATAGGTCAGAACCCACTCAAATGACGGACACAATAGGTTCTGACACCTGCAGCCCAAGGCAGCCAATCACAGCCGCCTTTATCACCACTCTCGGCCAATCATTAACATAATCAATCAATAGGCTCCGCCCCTTCAGCGCTGTTCGGGTATATAAGGCCCCGGGCCACAGAAAACGGGTTCAGTTGACTCTTGTCCGCGTTGCTGGTCGCGGTTGACTGAGTGTCGGATCCCAAGTGTGTAGTGACTGAAGCAGTGAGTGGTGGACCTCATCTTGGACTACACTTATAAATAGTACTACTACTTATAACTGGACGCTACGACTACCACAATCTCTACCATCTGCTTTTAAACGACCCACAGTGTTATATTAAAAGGTAGTAATATACATAGTGTTTCGTATATATTAATATCTAATGTTTTACCAGAAGTTAGAGTAAGTGTACCTTCTATGTACTGTATGCTTAGATCATTACTTGTAAATTTTTCTCAAGTATAAATAAAATAAACCCAAGGTAGCTTTTTATGTATATGAATCTTATGCATAATCACAGAGGTATAATGGTCATTCATACACGTAAGACAATCATATTAACTTAACATTACCATCTAAGAATAACTCCCATTTTACACAACGATAATGTTAATAATCGAACAAAATGCTGTCAACTCTCTAACATAAAATAAGATGATGTGATCAGAATATATAATTATTATCTTTATTATTGTTACTGTTTTTGTAAGCAGTAACAACAGTTGCGAGAGTAATTTTTAGGTAGTAGTAGTAGTAGTAGTAGTAGTATCATAGTAATACTAACAATAATAATTTCATGGCCATTATTATCATGTACTGGTGATGTATATGTTGGGAGGGCGAAAGAGTGTGGTGGAAGGACAAGCAGGTGTGTTGGAGAGGGGTTAGGTGTGTGTTGGAGAGGGGTTAGGTGTGTTTTGGAGAGGGGTTAGGTGTGTGTTGGAGAGGAATTAGTTGTGTGTTGGAGAGGGGTAAGGTGTGTGTTGGAGAGGTGGGGGGATGGAGTGTACTGTATGGTGGATGGAGAGGGGGGTAGGGAGTGTGTTAAAGAGGGGAGTGGGGGCTAGAGTGTGTGAATATGGGGGGTGGGGGGATCGAACTAGGGTGTCTGACAGGTGGTTGGTTGATTGTGTTAACACCAAGCACTGTTTACCTCTCTGGTGGACACAGCGTGGTGGGGGATAACGGGGTAGAGAGCCTCCGCGTGGAGAGGAAGGATGATGAGAGGAGAGATGGGAAGGAAGAGAGGGAAGGTAAAGAGATGGGAAGGAAGAGAGGGAATTACAGGGATATAAGAAGAAGGGAGGAAGAGGGAAGAGAAAAGAGGAGGGAGAGACAATAAGGGAAAGGGGAGTAAGAAGGAGGCAAAAAAAGAGAAGGGAGAGACAAGAGAGTCAGAAGGAAGACAGAGGGGAAGGAGGAATAAAAAAAGGGGGGAAAAGGAGAGAGGAATAAAGGCGGAATCGGAAGGAAAATTTGACGAATGAAGGGAGAACCAGATTTAGTGAGAAAGGAGGGATGGGAGAAGAGGAAAGCGAGGAGGAAGGGGGAGGGGGCGGAATGATGGAAAAGGGAGGGGATAGAGAAAGAGAAAAGAAGAGAGGAGAGGGAAGGAGAGGAGAAGCGAAAGGAGAAAATGGAAGAGAAAATATAAATGAAGAGGAGGAAGGAAAGCAGGGGAAGAGAAGAAGAAAGAACAGAGAGGAAGGAAGAGAAGCGATTTGAAGACATAGTAGAGAAAGAGAGAGAGGGGGTGGGAGAAGATACGGAGAAGAGAAGAAAGGAGAAAGAAAGGAAACTGGAAGAGAAAGCGGAGAAAGAGACAGACACACACATAAGTAAATCCACCAAATGAATTACTTATATCTACTTATCAATGTCTTCTTTTTTATTCATTATTATTTATCTATTTGTTTGGTTGCTGTTGTTCTTTTGTTATCTATTTATTTTTCTTGTTTGTGATTGTTTTTATTTATTTCATTTATTTGTTTATTTTTCATTCATTTATATATTCCAACTTATTTATTAATTTATTTCGTATTTGTTATTTACGTGTTTAATATTTTTGTTTGTTTTATCACTTATTTAGTTGTCTTATTTTTCTTTTAGATTCATTCATTATTTCTATTATTCATTTACCTAGTGTTATTTTATTTTATCTAGTTATTCATATTCTTATTTATTCATTTTGTTCATCTATTTCTTCAATTATTCATCTTAATCCCTAATTATACACTAATATTGGTTATTTATCAATTTATTCCTGTATTGTATATTATTTATCTGTTCGTACAGTATGGGAAAATAGGGATAATGGTAATAACTAATAGATGGGTGTTGCGTTGTGTTTAAAGAGGCATAATAATAATAATAATAATAATAATAATAATAATAATAATAATAATAGAATTACATCCACAAATTACAAATAAATAATAAGAACGTCCGTAGTAGTACATACAGTATTATAATGTTAGTTAATTGAGATGGCATGTATGTTCATCTGATTGTGATAGGTACTGTAGGTGTCGTCGAGGATACTGTATGGCTGTAGTCGAGTGTGTGAGGGTGTTAGTGGAGTGTAGTTTGTATACAGTATGTGTGTTACTGTGCTGTATAAATGTTCAGATTTGTGTAGCGTTAACAGTGTACACATATACAGTATATCAGTGTCATTGCAGGTGCGTTTGTGTATTTGTTGCTGGGTGTGTATTACTGTGTTGTATTGTGGTGTGGTAGTGGGAAGTGTATGGGAGTGTTAGTGATTGTAGTTTTTCTTTGCAAAAATGTGTTTATGGATGTCATTGTTGTATGTCTTGTAGGGGAGTTTAAGAGTGTTGCTGTGTTGTGTCACTGTAGGTGTGTGTTGCAGGGCATTATTGAGTTTAATTTGTTGTTCTTGGAGTGTATAAAGATGTTAATAAGTGTAGTGTGAGGAAGTGTAAGTGTTGCTAACATTGTCTCGTGGTTGCAGGCGTCATGATCATGGAGGCGGTGCGGGGGGTGAGCGCAGCCTCCAGTCCTCACACCTCACCCACTAAGCGCACATTCGACGTTGCCTTCCTCACGGGTGCCCGAGACCACGCCCTTGACACTGAGATCGCCACGCCTGTCGCCAAGGTGAGCCGTGTGAGCGGGCTCAAGGTGTCACCACCCACGGTCACTACATCATCACCGGCACCGTCGTCGTCCCCGCACCGCGATGACGTGACCCCCGGCAGCGCCTTCACTAAGGTCACCAGGTCACAGGGGTCATCACCTCCTCAATTCACCTCAACAGCGGTGTCATCCACCCTGGACGCCCTCAGCTCTGCTTGGCCTCCCGTCTCAGCGTCCTTCAACGCCATGAGTTCCCTCCTGAGTAGTGGCAAGTCCCTGGCACCACTCCTGGCTGCCCCGGGGCTACTGAACCCCGGCCTAGCGCCCTTCCTGCATCACCCCACCCCAGACCGCCTCAACAACAACCTGGTGGAGGAGTACCTCAAGTCGCAGCATCAGCTTATGGACTCGAAACCCGGCGGTGGCGATATGTCGGCCAGCGAGGCTCTGTCCCGCCTGCGGTCCTCCATGTACCCGACAGACCCCTACAAGCTGCCCTTCTCCTCCCTCGCCTACCCCCTCTCTGGGCCATCCCCAGCCGATGCCTCCAAGCTCAGCGCTGCCGCTGCCGCCGCCGCTTCGCCTTTCCTGTCGCAGCCGTCCGTGTCCGCTCTGATGCCGCCCTCGCTGGCCACGCTGGGCCAGGCCGCACAGAACGTGTGTGCTAAATGCAATATCTCGTTCCGCATGACCTCCGACCTGGTGTACCACATGCGTTCCCAGCACAAGCGGGAGGCCGACCCATACAAGAAGCGTCGCAATGAGAGGTTGAAGTGCAACATCTGCAACGAGAGCTTCCGTGAGCGTCACCACCTCACCCGGCACATGAGCGCCCACCAAGACCGTGACGAAGACAGTGAGACCAAGTGAACGCCCGCCGCCCATGCCAGTACTGTTAGCCACCACCACGCCCCCCTGTACGCCCACACGGCGAGCCGCTATGCCCAGCTACATGCCCATGCAGTCTACTACCACGCTCATCTACGACACGCCCAGGCAGTGAGCCATCAAGCCCGCCTTCATGCCCAGGCATTGAGCCAGCACGTGCATGCAGTAAATCAACACGCCCGTGCAGCGACTCACCCACGCCCCTCCCCGTTCATATAGTGATCCAACAAAGCCTATCTACACACCCGTATAAAATCAGCCGCCAACCACCTATAAATTCGACCATCCACGCCCGCTACCCATAAAGTAGGCCGCCCACGCCCGTCACCATCCATAAAGTAGGTCGCCCACGCCCTATATCAGAGAGTGAGCCGTTCCACGCCCACCGCCGCCCATAACGGGGATGGAGAGGCGGTCAGTGCGTCTACTCCCCCCTTGATCCTCTCTAGACAAATGAGGACACATCAGCCAGTCTCTCTCTCTCTCTCTCTCTCTCTCTCTCTCTCTCTCTCTCTCTCTCTCTCTCTCTCTCTCTCTCTCTCTCTCTCCCCACTGCGCTGAAAAAAGTTGATACAGGGAAGTCTGAAGAAAACCCCTTAAAAAGTCTACCAAAAAAGTAGAAACCAAGTCACATATGTTAAAACTTCGTAGAAAACACGGGAAATTGAACGAGACATTTAGAAACCTTTGAGAACTCGGCGTTTTCTTCCGGGACATAAACAACGTCACCGGCCCCTGCTTGATACTGAGCGGTGATTGGCTGATAGAGGATGGGGTTCATACAAGAGTGGTGATTGGTTGATAGCGGATGGGGTTGATATACGAGCAGCGATTGGTTGATAGAGAACGGGGGTTGATATATCAGCGGTGATTGACTGATAGAAAACGGGGATTGATACGAGAGTGGTAATTGGTTGATAGAGGGCGGCAATTCATGCAAGAGTGGTGATTGGCCTACGGAGCGCTGCAGCTTGGTACAAGAGCGATGAATGGGTCAAAAATAACGGTGGTTATACAAGAGAGATAATTGGCTAATTAATTATAGCTATCGATTGATAAAAAAGCTATGGTTTGTTAAGAAAAATCGGCGAATAGCCAAAAAGAATGGGGCGACTGACAAAGAAAAAGTCAACGATTGGCTAACTGAAGGGCGATGATTGGGCAATAAAAAACCTCAAATGGTTATGTACTCATATTTAAAGTCAGTGATTGGCTGACACTAGATGGTGACGAACGACGACAAGGGCGGTGATTGGCTGATACTGGATGGTGACTAACGACAACAAGGGCGGTGATTGGATGACACCGGATGGTGACTAACGACGACAAGGGCGGTGATTGACTGACACTGGATGGTGACTAACGACGACAAGGGCGGTGATTGGCCGACACTTAGTGACGACTAGCGACGACAAGGGCGGTGATTGGCTGACTCGAGCCCTAGATTGGTCGAAACAAAGACAGTGATTTACTTGAACCGAATCAGTGGTCAGGTGACACACATGGTACAGTACTGTAATGAGTGTATTGTGCTAATCCCTTCTCGGAGTGCACATTGAGTGAGTACAGTGATTTTGTACATTGGGAATGCACATTAGTCATGTGCTTTCCTTTAGTGTGTTCCATGGCAAGACAGTACAATGTAACGTTCTGTAATGAGTGTTACTGAGCTAAATACTTGCTGAAGCGAACATATACAATAGCTTAAACCCGTACCAAGAGGTTACAGTACAATGTAATAGACATGCACTTCGCTATAGAGTATCAAGAATAAACAGTACAATGTAATGTGTGTTTGTCGATCTGGCGTGTACTAAGCGTGTACAGTACAATGCCATGCATATGTACTTCGTTACACAATGCTGCAAGGTAACGCTGTACAATTAATGTACTTCAGTGTAATGTACTTAAATTTCACCTAACTTTGTTGCCAGTGTAATACTTCTTGTACATTGGTGCGACGTGTACTTAGAATGTACACCAGTTTGAATTTTACCAAAGACGCACAGTAAATGTGATGTGTGTGTGTGTGTGTGTGTGTGTGTGTGTACATTGGCCTGAGGTGAACCAAAGATGTACAGTACAATGTAATATGTGTGAACATTGATCTAACGTGTCATACAGACGTACGGTGCAATGTAAATGTTGTGTGTACTTCGAATTCATGTGCACGAAGGATGTGCAGTACATTGTAATGGTTTGTGTACACTGTTGGACGTGTACGAAGGTCACACAATATAGTGTAATGTATGTACATTGGCCTGGCGCGTACCAAAGATTGTATAGTAATGGTTTGTGTACATTTGCTCTAGCAAGCTTTGCACATTGTTTTGTTTGTAAGCAGAATACTTTATCTCATCTTCTTTGTTTGTCATATGATGAGTGAGTCACGCTACTTAATTATTCCATCATTCAGAATTTTATTTCACTGTATATAAATATATAAATATTAAATGTAACTGGCTTTAAAACCTCTATTTACATTTCCGAGATATCTTTAAATACACATGTCTGATCTGAAAACCTTAACAAAACCAAATGTACATAATTTTGAAGTTGTATCTGGACGCTAGTCACAAGTCGGGCATTACTTCGGTGCAATAATTGACTGTAAATAAAGACAAGTTATGTACTTTTAAATTCTATGTAGTAGTAGTAGTGGCAGGTTGATTGATGTGCTGCAATGACGTTATTGATGGTGGTGACGTCGGGGCATTACGTCATCGGTGGTCTTGATGCCATTGAAGACGTCACCGGTAGCCGTATCGTCATCGATTTTAATGACGCCACCACCGATCGTGATTGTCATCGATGATTGTGACGTCACCCCAAATTGTCATGACGTCACGAGGCCAGCTCTCACTGTCCCCCCACCAGGGTTTAATAAAGTTTGTCTTTGGAGTAACTTAGCGTTTAAATGACCCAACTTTATGTAATCTACTCACACCCACCCAGTGATGATGATGTTTGTGACAATGATAACAACATTAACGATAATGATGATGATAATAATAATGAAAGTATTAATGATGTTAATAATAATATCAATAATAATAACAATAATCATAATAACAATAATATTAGTAATAACAACAATAATAATAATAACAGCATACATAATAATATAGCTATCAATAATATATTATAACTGATAATATAATGAAAAAATAAATAAAAAGACTAACATTTTCATTGTTCATAATAAGTTTGCTCTATTAGTCCAGACCAGGAGTGTTAGACCCTTTTTGCTCTCATAAGAACCTACTCTACAGATTCTCAAAGACCCAGATGACGAATTTTCCTCCTAAATAGTTGTAATAATTTACCTAACTGGATGACTTACGTTGAACCTCGAGGATCTAAAATGGCATCCAAATTACATTAAGACTCTGATGTCTTCTCAATACCACCTAGGAGACAAAACTCACGTAAACCAAACCTTTGTGAACCAGAACATAAGAGTTTACAAAATTTGAACACATTTAGGGTCACAAAAAAACTCAGGTACAGTAATTACCACACAGCTACAGTATCATACTAGTGGTGTTGTAACCTGGACAAGACAGAGACTTTCAAAGACGTACTAAGTCCAGGTTATAAAGGAGAGAACCTGTTATATGATTATCTCGAACAGGAAGTCATTATAGAGCTATGTATAAGGGGTTCGTGAAGGGAGTGAGTCTTGTTGTAAATAATACAGAAATAAGATCTAAAACCAGATGAAGCTAACATCACTCTTACACAGTGATGGCTTCAGTCTCCTTCTTGATTACGTTGAGTAAATGATGAAACAGAATAGATAATAAATGGAATAAATAAAAAATGAATATGATGCCGTTATGTCTTCATCTTCCTTCCTCTAAAAAACAGACAAAATGGACTTCAGGAGTAAACAGTATCAAGTGTCAACAGGAAACAACATGGTGGCATAAATGAAGCCATGTTATTCTATGACGTCATATATTATTCACAATACGGAGGTTAAACTTGTCGCCATTTAAGACAACTTTGTAAATGTCTCTAAGTTACGTTTTATCTCTTCCGGACCAACATGATGCAGGTCAGATGGGTGCAACCGGTACTTCACTCTTTGTATGCTATGTCATTAGTGCATTTCTATTGACCAATCGCGAAGCATTACGTCATGAACATGTTTCCTTCTAACCAATCGCAGAGCTTTTCATCAGCATCATCACCACCATTCACCTGATTAATCATAAAGCATTTTGTAGTGAAATTTTCTCTCCACAAATCATAATGCATTTCTTCATTAAAATGTCTCCTTGTGATTAATAATAAGATCTTTCATAATGAAAACATCTCCTGACCACTCACAAGGCGTTTCATCATCACTGCGTCATATATATATATATATATATATATATATATATATATATATATATATATATATATATATATATATATATATATATATATATATATATATATATATATATATACACACTCAAGATTCTCAAGTCATTTATAAAGCAACATCACGTTAGAGTCACGAGTATTGAAAGGGAGCAAGAAACGGAAATGGAGAGAGAGAGAGAGAGAGAGAGAGAGAGAGAGAGAGAGAGAGAGAGAGAGAGAGAGAGAGAGAGAGAGAGAGAGAGAGAGAGAGAGAGAGGAGAGACTGTACTGTTTTGCCACTCACGGTATTACACGTGCATTTGAAGCCACGTCACCACTGTATTACACCTATACTAAGCCCACCACTGTACTGCCACACCCTGTAATAGTTACACCACCACTGTGCTACACCTGTACCAAGCCACACCACTGTACTACACCTGTAATAAGCCACATCACCACTGTACTACACCTGTATTAAGGCACATCACCATTGTACTTGCCACCTGCACTAAGCCACACCACCACTGGGGTACTACACTGCATAAGGCACATCACCATTGTACGCCACCTGCACTAAGCCACACCACCACTGTACTACACCTGTACTAAGCCACACAATTATTGTACTACACCTGCACTACGCCACATCACTGCTACACCTGTACTAAGCCACACCACCACTGTGCTACACCTGTACTAAGCCACACCACCACTGTACTACACCACCAGCAGTTACCAATACACTGTGCCTCGCCCACCACGTCACAGTACTAAACTAAACTCAAATGTAATGTTTTACGAGATATATTCAGGGCTCTAGACAGTAACATGCTAATGATGATGATGATGATGATGATGATGATGATGATGATGATGATGATGATGATGATGATGATGATTATGATGATGGTGGTCGTTGTGATGATAAAACCTGAAGTGTATAATAATAATAAATTTAACAATAATAATAATAATAATAATAATAATACCGCTACTACTACTAATAATAATAATAATAAAAATAATAATAATAATAATAATAATACAAATTTCTCATTTATTTCTGATAAAAACCTACAAAACAACATTAGTTCTCATAGTACAATATACATAACAGTGTAATATAAGATGAAATAACACCGTAAAACTCAATTATCAGATATTACCAATACATAAACCACTAACAGAACAAAACTAAAGGGGTGAAAATATTTGAAGCATAATTAGGATGATAGGACACATTACTCACGCTATGCTACTACGCCTCCTTTATCATGGCTCTACGCTACGTGGCTGCTATGCAAAGATGCTATACGAGGGTGAATCTGCCCGTGAGCCCTGGCTTAGTAAGGGTTTAAACAAGATCCTCAGGCCAATTACTGATGGTACACGTAAGCCTGTATAAGACCTCATCACCTGACCCTCCCTCACCATCACCACATCTACCACACCCTCCATCACCACTTACCTGACTCACCTCTCCTAAACACCACTTAATGTCTTTTCTTTTATTGTTTGTGTGTTTAGAGAGAGAGAGAGAGAGAGAGAGAGAGGTGACAAATATTAAGAAATACGTAGTGGTGTCATGTCTGGTCTAAATCTCGCTACAGAACCCTCCAATCCGGAGCCCCGAACCCACGGTAGAGATAACAGAGCCTTAGTCATGAGTTTCAACACCTGATTTTCTCATATTTCTTTTTTTGGTATATATTAGTTTTGACTATAAACACCTTGATGTAATAAATGTGTAATACGTCACCTGGATGTGTGAGGTAAGCGGGTAATTTAATTCCTCCTCATTAATTATTGATATAGTTCCATTATCTCCACCAGGGGTTCCGGGTTCAAGGGTCCGGTAGATACGCCAGGTGGGATGTTGGCTGAACACCCTATACACTCAGAGCTCTGTGATCATACACTGCATAACTAACTGATCTGCCCAGTACTTGTACAATTGTCTCTCGAAGTTTATAATTTTTTGAGGACGTGACCACTAACTAGCTCAGGTAAACTGTTCCATATGACCACAATACTCCGTTGTGTCTCAGTTTGGTGTGTTCAGCTTGCCTTAACATCTTAAAATGTAACACCAAGTACTGCTGTTACGTGACTACCCTGCCTCATGTACACTGCCTGTATCATGTTAAATGTGTCATCATGTGTTGGCCGTGTAACGTCCTAGATACATCTTCCTCAAATATATTTTCCCATCTTTCCTATTGACGATGTGTTAAACTCATGTCTACAAGAAGTGGAATAATCTCATTTCTTTATCCATTATTTTGTTTTCAAAATGTAAACTCAAATTATATGCAGGGATTACATTATCATATTATCTACAACTCGGGACAACCTACAGTAGATGTAGAGATATATTTCATAATAAATAGTTCTTTCATTCATAACTATATTCTTGTTTACCCGCGACAAGTGTTGACATGGTAGACCAAGACTTCCATTCATAAAGCGGTTCGTTCACTCTCTACATGTGTTTAAATACCCAGACAACACAACAACAATATTTCTAGACTAATATTCATTGGACATTAATAGGCTAAGAGGAAAAACGACATGGCCTCGGTTCTTTTTGCCCTGAGAGCACTCGACCAGACCCGGCCACCTGTTCAGCGGTCTGGCCGACATCACATATGGTAAGTATCAGGGTGACGAGGGCCCATTTAAACAATATTAGTTTCCTATTGGTCGCTCATTGGGTCGACGCGGTCCGCGGGGCGTCTAACATCTCTCCATCCGTGTCAAGTAACAAGTCCGATTAATTTTGTTAATTTTCGTCTTGTCTGGTGTTAACTAGTGTGTACTGGCTTCGTTTTCAATATGAGAGTTTCTCAGTATTTGCGGAGATATGAAGGATATATCGCGGAGTTCTCTATAGCGGGGCAGATAAAGCTTCCAGCATCACATCTGTCGCTCTCGACAAGATGTTCGATAGCTTGCAATCTGTTATGTAAACATTTACTTTTTTATGTATCTAGAGCGAATTTTATCAAAAGTATATGCCGTTTCATAAGCTTGTTTTACTTTATAAGCATCTTATATAAACAAATTATTCAAAATAGAAGAATAAGCAAAAGAATATTACATAATCACTTGTAATCAGCTGTTCGCGGGCAGTCATTCGGACGGTGACGCCATGTATTGTGGTAAGTCCAAGCCCGCGCAAACATTTTGAAAATCTGGCGCGAATCCTGGATCATATGGGCATTTGTAGGAGAGTGTTGTTCGCTCACCTTATTATAAAACACACATCACATCGCTCTTATTTCCCCTCAAAATCTTACACAAGGACTCTATTAAGAATTATATCTAGTTAAAAAAATAAAATTGTAACGATACAAGAGTTTGTTCCATAATTTGTTCTCGGTGGTCTGGCAGCAAGAAGAAGAACGTAAACAAACGGAACCCACGAAACATTGTGGTGAGGATCATCCCTGCGGGGGTGCCCAGACTCGACCCTAAATGAGTCGGCTCTAGCAGAGCATATGGTGCTTCCTGCGACAAGTTGTTCCCTGGCAATTGGGATAATGA